CAACATGGGCCAGTGAAGCGACATCCTCTACAACTAGACTGAAAAACCAAAGGACAGCAACTTGTCTGTTCCCCTTCCCCCAATTCCCCAGCACTGTTCCCCTCCCCCAATTCCCCAATTGAAAAAAAAAAACTAAAACAGACAAACAAAAAAACTCAGACAATAGTTCAGTGGTCACCAGAGGGCAAGGGGGAAGGGGAATGATACATGAGGGTAAAAGAGGTCATATAGGGTGATGGAAAGAGAACTGACTCTGGGTGGTGAACACATATGTGGTATATAGATGATGTATTACAGATTGCACACCAGAAACCTATGTAACTTCACTAAGAATTGTCACCCCAATAAACTTTAATTTTTAAAAAAACCTATCATATTAATTGAAAGAGGTCAATAAAATGACTGAATTGATTAAACTGATATTTATTAGTAACTTTCATGAATACTAGCCATAATTTTGTGAAAATGATATTTTTCATTAATGCAACCCAAATTACAAAATATATGGAAATAAACTCAAAATGTGAAAGACCTATATTATGAAAGCATAGAAGAGTTGTTGAAGAATCCGAAAGGCCTGAATGAATACACAGATTTTCAGGTCTCCAGATAGAATAATTCAGTGTGATCAAGATATCAATCTCTTGCAGAGAAGTGAACCCTACAAAAATCTTTTGATCAATAAGGTCTTTTTGGCAGTGGCTCGGCTGGTTAAGAGCTCACTTGGGAGCGCCAGCTCTGAGCAGCAGGGCTGCGGTTGGATCCCACATGGAGGGCCAGTGACGCTCGCCCTCTACAGCTAAGATGATGAACAACAGCTCAACCTGGAGCTGGGCTGCTGTGAGTCACGGGCGACCACGTAGGCTGCAGCAGAGCTGCAAGTGGGCTGCTGTGAGCTACGTGAGTGGCTGGCAGCCAGCGTGAGTGGCCGGCAGCCGGTGTGAGCTGCTGGGAGCTGCTGTAAGCAGCCGACCAATGACCAACGACTGATTGCCTCACCCAGGAAGAGCACAATGATCATACCAACATGGGCCTGTAAAGCAACGTTCTCCACAACTAGACTGAAGAACGAAAACAGCAATTTGTCTACCTGTCTGTTCTCCTCCCCTGATTCCCCAATGCTGTTCCCCTTCCCCCAATTCCCCAATAAAATCTTTAAAAAAAGATATTTATATAGTGATACAATAATGTATCATTGTTGTACTATAAAAAATTATGACACCACAATATTTTTTGCAATTTATAACATTGCATGTTGTAATATAAATGTTGTTACTCATGTATCACTATTATCCTTTCATGTTTTATAATATTTTTCAAAGATATCAATTCTCTTTCAAATTAATTCAACATTTAATATATTTTCAGTCAAAATCTTAGATTTCTAAGACCTCTAAAATTTTTCTAGTATTTATGTGGAAAATAATTGTTTGAAATAGAAAATGTAGTTTTTAATAACAATATTGAGTGGTACACTTCTTATCAGATATCAAAATCTACTTACCTAACCTAAAATAATGGGGTATTTGCTTAGGAATAATTAATCAATCAAAAGAAAGTAATCCAGAAATAGGACTTTAAATATAGTAAATATGACATATCAGATTAGGGAAGTAGGTTGGCTTTTTGAAAAATGTGTTGAAAAACTTTTTTAAGTCAACAGAAAACCATTTAAAAGGCAGGCTTAAATTCTTTACACATATGCGCGCGCGCGCGCACACACACACACACACACACACACACACACGTTTCATCTCTCTATTTAAAACTTCCCACCATATACATGCAAATGTGTGTACTCAAAGCTTTAAAAATAAAAAATAAGTGAACTAGAAAAAAATATTTATGAATTTTTATGTAATCTTGAATTAAAATGCAGAAACTCTGATGAATATGATTGACAACATTGAAATGAAAAAAGTATAACTATTCCACATCACAAAAACACTATTTAGGAAAAATTTTTAAGCTTAGTTTTATAATGTACAAAATCTCTTTTAAATCAATAAAATATTTTGAACATGCCAATTAAGTCAGATAAAGTATATTAAAAGGTTAGTCATAAAAGAAGTAAAGTACTAATAGCTAAATACCTCACTATTAACAAAATTAATACAAGTGAGATATAATTTTGCTTATATTGTAAAAATTACAAATATTAATCAAAATCTATGTTCAGTAAGTCTGTGGGGAAAAGTAACAAATATATAGGAGGAAATTTATTAAAAGATATAAAGAAAGAAGTTTTTAGAAAATTTTTCAAAAGATTAAGGGCATTAAAGATCTAAATGAGTTCAGAATTATGTAATAGTCATGTGTAGGATGATTCAATTGTCAATAGCGTCAGTGCAATTCCAATATAAAAATCCAACAGCGTTTTTTACCATGACAAGCTGAATTAATATGTATATGGAGAAACAAAGGCCTAATGTGGCCAAATCTCTTTTAAAAAAAAGACATGTTGAGAGACTTGTCCTGTCAGATATGAAAACTTATTATAAAGTTATATAAATAAGCACAAGTTTAGAAAATTGATTATTTGACCATAACAAATAAATCGAAACTAAAGTCAGACATAAATAAAAAACTCAATATGTGGAAGTATGAACAATTTGATAAATGATGCATAGACAATTTGTTCCCCACATTAGAAAAAAATTAAATAAAGCATTTACTTCACAGTGTACACACCCACAAAAATCAATGGTCAGTGGATTAACTTTTAAAATTAAAAAATGCAGTATTTGAAATCCTTAGAAGACAACATAGAATGATATTTTCCTGGCCACATGATACAGAATAAATTGTTAAGTAAGACGTATAAACGCTAACCATACAAAGACTGAGAAATTTAACTACATTTTTTACTTAGAAATTTGACTACATTTAAGTTCTGATTCATCAAATAAAATGATAGAAGTGCAAAAAAGAAAACTTTGCAATACACATAAACAAAAAAGAAATGGGACGGCCGAGCTGAGCTGCCGCTGAGCTGCCAACAGGTGACAGGATGGCTCAGCTAAAAAAAAAAAAAACACATGAGTACACAGGATTCCTAAAAAAACTCCAACAAATTAATAAGAGAAAAACAACCCAGTAAAAAAAGTGGCAAAAGATATGAATACGCATTTCATAGAAGATGGTAAAAAATAAATGCCCAATAACCATGAAAATATGCTCAACTTCAATAGTAATAAGGATTGCAGAATGAAGCCACAATAAAGTCATATTCTTATACTTGTTAGATTTGCAAAAATACCAAACATTTGACAATATCAAGTGTTGGCCAGAGTGTGGAGTGATGGAGCTGTTACACACAGCTGGCAGGTAATACAACTTTAGGAGAAAATTGTAACCATCTGCAAAAGTGAACGTGTAAACACCCTACTTACACAAAAGAACCGCTTACAGGATGTCTACAACAGCACTCTGTGCAATATCAAAATCTAGAAACAACCCAAATGACCACTGACTGAATGGATACGTAATCTGTGGTATATTCAGACATGGAATAATATATAGCAGGGAATGATGGGATCAGGTCGAGACAGGCAACAGCATAAATCTTAGACAGTTAACATCGTGGATAAAAGCAAGTTTCAGAAAACTATGTCTTGCGTTGTATAATTTTAATAAAAATAAGGAATGTGAAACTCTAAACGATATACTTTAAGGATACATACATATGTAGTTAAACTCTTTTTAACTGTGGTTAACGAAACACTCAGCATGGGGATTACCCCTGGGAGGGGGCAGAGCAATGGCATCAGGGAGGTAGTTTCCATGATATTGGTCAAAATTTAGGCAAGAGGCTACAACATTTACATAAATTGCATATATTTATTGGTATGCATGAAAAATACATTAAAAATTTTTAAAGTAAGAAAAGTTCAAAATATTTTTTAAATTAGAAAACTCTTATAAAGCATAGCTGATATTCCATATTACAATGAAAGCAATTCCATTTTCTCCTAGTTTGGGATGTTCCAGGATGGGCTACAGACCGAGAAAAGCCTGTTGTTCAAACATGAAATTGAAAAACAAAATTCTGTTTGTACCAAAACAAATCACGATTAAGTCTAGATTTAAAGTATTTAAGTCAACTTTTAGAGAACAGATTGCTGTGCAAAATAACACATTTCTTTACCCATATCTTCAGTATCGTGAGGACAAAATATGAAGCTTAGCTTTTCTATTCTTAAAGAATTGCAAAAATGCACATAAAAACTAGTGAGCTAAAGCATGAAAATATGTTGACAGCTTGGATTAGTATGGGTTTCTATCCTATCAAGAACTAGAATCTGTTTTCATCATCAACCACCCCAAACAGATTTACCCCAGCCTGTGAATACATCCAACATCCCACCTAACAAAATTGCTAACAAAAGTGCCTTTAACCAAATATATCATCTCCCATCTAAATATCCTGAACTGAAAATTCATGGACGGTGACCTGACAAACAAAAATATAATCTTAAAGACAAAAAATGCATAATGCAGCTACCGAAAGCTGCTGTGTGGATAGAATAACAAACATTAAAATTTAAAAACCACTCTTTGGGCCCCAGAAATTTGTTCTAAATATTAACCAAACCACTTTCTCATTAATTGGGGTAAAAGTAAATTTTCAAACGTAGCTTGTTTTATCACTTTTGAAAAGAAAAAAAAGTTTTCTTCTAAAGTCCCATTTTAATCTAAACTGAGAAAAAACAAAGTTACAAGGTGACCTTAGCTTATTTTTTCTTGTAATAGGACAAATAACTGTGCTTTTTATTCATCCTCCAGAATTTCTCTATCAGATTGGTTCCAACCTCAAAGTACAATTTATTGTACTTTTTTTATTTTTTATGGTTCTGCAAACTTTTATTTTAATTTTACAATGAACCACAGACATTTTTTCCATGCAAGGGATGAAAATCTGCTACTGAAGTGTAGAGGGCTGCAGCTACATAATAACAGTAACACCTAAAGCAAAGTATTAGCATAAGGTTACAGCCCAGAGCCTGGCAAATGCCTGAGGGGACGCTACACAAAAGGAATGTCTTCAAAGCCCCTTTGTGGGGCCCTGCAGCCACCCCTGAGTTCCCTTGGGCCCCTTGGGTAAAAGGGGTCCTGGAAACTTTTTTGCATCCACATAAACCCCCCCAATTTCTGTCTGGTTTTCTTCACCTCATCCTCTACTCTAGCCATCTCATCGAATTCTCTTATCATCTCCTCATTGCTCAAATTCATATCATGAATGGCCTCCTTGTATTCCTTGAGGCACTGAGCCAGCCCCTTGTTGGTTTTCTTTTGGCTTTCCTGGGTACATCATCCCCAGCTGGGCGCTTTCCTGCAGCCCTTGGTTCGCTGGCTGCTTTTCCTTCTTCTTTTGGCTTTCCCTCATCCACTGACTTTCCCTCATCCTCCAGTTCTCCCTCATCCTCCAGTTCTCCCTCCTTCTCCGGTTCTCCCTCATCCACTGACTTTCCCTCATCCTCCAGTTCTCCCTCCTTCTCCGGTTCTCCCTCCTTCTCTGGTTTTCCTTCTTCTTTTGGTTTCCCCTCATTCTCCAGTTCCCCTCGCTCTCTGGCTCTCCCTTTTCTTTTGGCTTTCCCTCCTCTGGCTTTTCCTTATCATTAAGTATTTCCTCATCTCTGTCTTTCCCTTGTTTTCTAGCTTTTCCTCATTTTCTAGCTTCTTCTTGTCTTCCAGAGTAAGAGCTATTTCTGGCTCTCCCGCATCCTGTGCCTGCTCTTGGTTTTCCGTCTTTACTTGGCTCTCAGGTATTGCTTCATTTTCACTGCAGCGTTTTTCCATGTTGAGATGTCTCCTCCATGCAGACCTGACCAGCCACGGAATTAACTGATCCCCGAGGGGCTTCTGCAGGATAACTTGGCTTATGTTTCAAAGCCAAACAATGTGGAAGATTTAATCACGGTAACAATTTTCTTGCTTGGCTTCTCAATTGGGGCAGGGGCTGAATCACAGTGAGTCCAGAGAGAGGGCGAGGCTCTGTAGTTTGTGGACCAGGAGGCCGGCTCTGTCCATCCCACTTCGGCACTTGCACGTCTCCCTCAAAGCCTTCCTTCGGCTAAGGAATTCTCCTTCCTCCCAAATAGTGACTAACAATTGCTGCCTATTGCACTTTTTTGATGTCTTTGTATCAAGAAAAGCATCCCTAGAGAACCTATTGAATTGACTAAATTGTCCATTGCTGGGATTTACTGCCTGTTTGTTGCTTCAGAGCTAGTAACACATGTGTTCAGTATGGGTGGACACCTTTGCATTCTACGTGTAGTTAACTTTTTACACCAGAGTTTTTTCATAGCATTTTTCATCTCTGTATTTCTCAAGGTGTATATTAAAGGATTCAACATGGGAGTGATAACTGTATAAATCACCGATATGGATTTGTCAGCGGGGAAGTTGCGAACAGGCCTCACATACATGAAAATACAGGGAACAAAAAAGAGGACCACCACTGCGATGTGGGAACTGCAGGTCAACAGGGCTTTGCTCCTTCCTTCCTGAGTATGAGTTTTCAGGGAACTTAGGATGACTCCATAGGAAATCAGCAGAAGGATAAAGATAACCATACAGATGGCTCCGCCATTGACGACCACAGTGAGACCAACAATGTAGGTGTCAGTGCAGGCAAGCTCCAATAACGGGTACATGTCACACAGGAAGTGATCAATGACATTGGGGCCACAAAATGGGAGGCTGTACACAAAGAGAAGTTGAACCACAGAGTGCACAAAACCCCCAACCCAGGACACCCCCAACAGCAGGATGCAAACCTGTCTGTTCATGATGGTCAGGTAATGCAGTGGCTTACAGATGGCCACATAGCGATCGTAGGCCATCGCCACCAAAAGGAAGACCTCAGCACCCCCAAATAAGTGTTCCAGAAAGAGCTGTCCCATGCAAGCTGGAAAGGAAATTGTCTTTTTACCACAGAGTAAGTCTATAATCAATTTGGGTGAAATGACAGTGGAATAAGCCACATCCATGAGTGACAGGTAGGCAAGGAAGAAGTACATGGGGGAGCCCAGGGAGGGGCTGGCAAGAACAGTCACCACAATGAGCAGGTTACCCACCATTGTCACAATGTAGATGAGTAGGAAAATGACAAATAATGCTTTTTGCCCCTCAGGATCCTGAGTGAGGCCCAGGAGGACAAATTCTGTCACATTGTTACTATGTCCCATTTACTCTTCTATAAGGGTTGTTTCAAGGGTGAGAGGTCAAAAGAACAGGACCTATAATGAAATTGTGACCACAGCTATGAATACATCCATTGTGTTATGGAGTGTGCCTTCATTTTATCTTCTACAGTGGTTTACACACAGTAAACATTTAGTAAATATCGATGCGTTCTTCTTCCAAAGAGTCCCTTACACATTTCCTTGACAATTCTATTTCTCCTCGGATGATTTTGTTGGTGTTACAAGGAAGAGGTTCCATCTCTAAGTCTTAATGGATCGTCTACAGAGAAGAATGATCAAAAGCCCAACAGTCAGTCATACATGTCATAGAGCCTTATTTCAACTATGTCAGTCATTGGCACAGAAGTCAGCAATGATGAACAGGGCAAGGGTTCCTGCCCTCCAGAAACACTCTCTGATGACAAGGGGTGAAAAGAAATGCTAAAATAAATTGGCACAGAGTCAGTTCTTTGAGTGGTAGTATTTGATTTATGTACCACCAAAAATCATGTCTTTTCTGGAGTAACTCACTTAATGCTATGTTAATCCACTATTAGATGTTCAGTTCTTCGTATCTAAAGGATGTTCAGTCATCATGGATCTCTCATTAAATTTCAAAAGACTGGACTTTGAACCGTATCAAATAACTACAGAATTATTTAGCACATTGCTTCCTCTAGCAATTACTTTGTATGACTCTGTGACTGCCAGCTTTTCTTTTTTTTTTTTTGACTGTCAGCTTTTTAAGGAGTTGTGATTCTGTCCATTTCATCTTTGCCTATCCCACAAGTCTTAACACACATACTACTTGGATTTTCAACAAGTGTTTTTTGAACTTAACTAACTCGTGATTATCACCAACTACTACATTAGAAGCTAGCATATTTTTTCAAAACTCTTGGGGTGACCTAGTTAATAAGGGAGAAGAACACAGACACTGCAAAGAGGACAATGGGACATGGTTATATTTATATTGCTTTCGAGGTACTGAGTGTGCTCAAAAAGTGAGCTTCGAGGGCCCAGGTACCAAAAAGCAGCTCACTCAAGGGCAAACTTCAAGCTCAGTGTAAGAAGGCATGGGTTTGAGTCATTTCTATGTGTAATTACAAGTCTGTCTCAGTTTGCTCATTGGAAAATAAAGGGCTTCAGCTAGACTATCTCAGAAACCTTTCCAATCTATCTATGATACTTTTTGTGTAGCACTATCTTATTCTATTCTGTTGACATTTTTTATGTTTATAATAAAATAAACATTCCCAAGCTTGTAACTGTTCCTTTAAAAATGCTAGCCAGTAGGATATGGGATTGTATAATTACAGAGGCCAAATAATGACCACAAGCTACTTATTCAGTGTGTACCTATTTAACACCCAAAACACCCTTGGGAGAAAACATAGCGAGTGATGAATAACATGGACTCTGCAGCTGCACTGCCTGTGCTGGAATCCCAGTTTCGCCACTTACTTTTTTTGTGACTCTGTGGACTTAATAAACCTCTCTGTGCCTCAGTTTAATCAGTTTTACAATGGGAATAGCAATAGAGCCTAGCTCTTACGCTATTATTATAAGTACCTAGAATGTGGCCTGGCACCCAGTAAAGGTTTGATAAATGACACCTATTATTAATGGCCTTGAATGCTTCACTAAGAACATTCTATCAGAGAAATCATCTGGATCTTTGTCTATTTGATAAAAATTGTAGACACAGTCTGGGATAAAAGAAATATTATACCTATAATTCATGAATCCCTATTTGGGCATAAGATAAGATTGTATGATTAGGAATTATCTATTTTATGATATATGAGTAGTAGCATTTACCAGTGATGGAATGTATTTTAATTAGAAGCAAGCAGAATAATAGAAAAAGAGTGGGATCCATTTATCATAGGGGGAGCTAAATAGTAGAAAAAGAAAGAAAAACCAAAGGAATAAAGATAAATTATATTTAAGAAATGAATGTCTACAAGTAATAAGAATACTAATATGATAATTAAATGAGATTAGCATTCTTTAAAAAATCTTCAGAAAGATATACTTTAATGAAGAAGGTGCTGGAGGGGTTATTCAGAAGGCATCTTAAAAAGCCATAACAAACAAACACAGAGCATATCTTAGAAAATAAAAGAAAATGCAAAAAGAAAATAAACTCTATTATATTTTCCATAGTGGCTGTACAAGTTTACATTCCCACCAGCAGTGTATGGGGGTTCCTTTTCCTCCACAAGCTCTCCAAAATTTGTTATTACTTGCCTTGTTGATGATAGCCATTCTAACAGGTGTGAGGTGGTATCTAATTGTGGTTTTGATTTGCATTTCCCTAATAGCTAGTGAAGCTGAACACAATTACCATTTGACCGAGCAATCCCTCTTCTGGGTAGCTACACAAAAAATCTGATAACATTTATTCGTAAAGATTTATGTGCCCCTATGTTCATTACAGCATTATTCACAGTGGCCAAGACATGGAAACAACAGAAGTGTCCTTCGACAGATAATTGGATAACAAAGATGGGGTACATATACACAATGGAATAGTACTCAACCATAAGAAAAGATGAAATACTGCCATTTGTGACAACATGGATGGTTCTTGAGATTATCATGCTAAGTGAGATAAGTCAAAGAGAAAAAATCGAGAACCATATGATTTCACTCATAGGTGGGATATTCAACAGAAAGACAAACAAATAAGCAAAAACTCATAGACACAGACAATAGTTCATGGTTATCAGATGGGAGGGAGGGTGGTAGAAAAGGGAAAAGGGGGTCAAATATATGGTGATGGAATGAGAACTCATTCTGGGTGGTGAACACAAAATGCAGTATATAAATGATGTATTATAGAACAAGGTAATTTAAATAAATTTAATTTTAAAAGGCGGGGGGGAATGATTCCTCAGAGTCCTTATATACGATGGTAAGGACAAGGTTGAACAGGAGGAAAGAATTGTACAACTATAGTTACAAACCCAATCTTTTTGCTTCTTTACTGCTGAGAAAAACTACAGGATTCCTAAACCGCAAATGCAGACAAGCTGATTCCATTCCCATGGATTTGGCGGGGGAAGGAGGGGTCGTGCACAGAAGAAGCTGAGCTCTCTGTGGAAGCAGCTGGGGCACCGTACATGCCTCATTCACCTTGTGCTTGCAGGTTCCTCAGGAGTCCTATCACTGCTGATGGTGTAGACTGATAAAGGCACACCTCTGGAAGAGCACTCAGGTGTAAGGGAGTCTACAGGGAGTCCATATCCATTCTTTCTTTCCCGCTTTCACTTTCTGCGCATCTAACGAATGTCCTTACTCTTCTTAATCAGCAATGTTTAATCACCAAGATAAATCTTCTACCAGCCAATTAAATTCTGCAGATGTAAAATATGGTATATAAACTATTCTGTCATTTAAATCACCAAGGATTCTATCCTGTGAAAACTGAAAGATGGTGTTGCTGGGCTTACAACTTAAACCACTAAGTTAACACGTCTCTATTTAATACATCATTGTTTAACATAGCTTCTCAAAAGTATGGCCTTTTAAAAAGATAAATTAAATTTCCATAGTCACAAAAATACCTTCTACACTGTTTTAAAATTATGGTTTTATGACCCTCTAAGTGACAGTAACCAAGGTACTTCCCTGAGACAAGGTTTCTTTAGGAAGCTGCACAAACAGGGGCTGCTGGGATCATTTTAAAAGGTTCACACATATCAAGCTTCCAAACGAAAATCCCAAAATCCCATATTAAGCTTCCAGAACAGAATAGGCATTCATTCCTTTATATTCTAACACAGGTGATACGCATACAATTTTAAATTCTCTAATTTAAAACTCTGAAAGTAATTATAAATGTTAACATATCATGTAATATATAATAGCCTTCTTACCACAATTATAAATCCATTAGTTTATCTATAATGCATTACGTGTTTCTCATTGCTATTTAGCAAAATGGGCAATAAACACATGTCAGGTTGCAATGCTAAAACAAAATACATTTTGAATATTCTGATTAAGTTCTGTGTTTACTACCTTAATTTTCTCAATTCAGACTTCCACCAATGACAATATATAAGACATCAGGGATATTGGATGAATTTTCAATGAGCGTCCCTTGTTGGTTGTTTTAAGAACTCACCTCGAGTCCTTCCCTCAGTCTCTGAAATCAGCGTTCCTTTTGCCAAGAGTGACTGTAGATACCTCATGTATCTGTGTGTGGCCACAGAACATGTCATAATGTATAGCTGATCAGTAGATCTAGAAATAGTTGTGTGTGGACACACTTTTCATATTTCCACACAGACTCCCCATTATCTCAGTCTTTCAGATAAGTTTAGCAGTATCCAATGGGGATGTTAAGACTGTAAAGATACTTAAATAAATGTTTTCATATTTTCTGTGCAGGTACCCAGGACAGCGATAGCTGAGCTGACTCTGGGTGGTGAACACACACTGTGATATACAGATGGTATATTTCAGAATTGTACACCTGAAACCTATGTAACTTTAGTAACAATAATCACCCCAATCAACTTTAATTAATAAAAATATAAAATAAAATAGAATACACTTAAATAAAAGAAATATTTACTATGCAAAAATAGTTGAACATTCTCACCTGAGTGGAAAATCTCTTCAAAGAAAAACAAAGCTGCTAAGTTCTCACGGCTATGTAAAATCTAATTCATGGAAATAACATGGCAAAATCCATTATTTGCCAACACAAACTTGGAAAACACAGAAATTAGTTATTTGAATGTACTCCTCAGCCAATTATGGTGAGCTAACCAAAAAGCACTTTCCTTTGAGGATTTAGGATAGCATTCACATCTCTGGCCATTAGCTCTTTCTGTATCTAACAAGAAAAATGCTCAGATTTATCTTCCTGAAACAGCCAATGACTGAGCCTTAGCACAGGTAGTATTACAACTCTTTAGCCTTTCAGTCATTCGAACAGCTTATCCCTCAGGGCACTTCATCTTTAATTAAAAGTATGTCTCTACCAG